AATGTTTTCTATCATCAAGCGCATGTTAAATTCAGTTTAGCTTATTAAGAGAAGTGGAGAGTTAAAGTAAACTTAGTTTAGAGTATTGAAGGAGTTAGATATACTTATGTGACCATTAGTCCCTGTCAAGTAAAATCACTTAATTAAGAAATTATGTACGCAGCATGAACGGATAATCATTCATAATTAAAAAAAATATTTAGTTACATGTCATAATTATTATTCACACTGTTGCGATTAATTATTCCATTTTAAATTACCTCAGGTCAATTTTAACATAAACCTTATGATCACTAATGAATCTATACACTCATATATTTACTTTTCTTCTCATCTATTTATAAATTATAAAATTATTCACGTAACCATTATTATTACATATATATCTAACTTATTTATTCATACCAGTAATTATAGTTACATGACGGTTAGTACGGCATTACAGCACGCATTACATTTGTACAATATCTGCCAATGATCTGTCGATAGTTGCTAACATAAAACTCGGCACTCACAACACCGTCACGCCAACGTACATCGCATGTAAATTTGTTCACTAAACCAAGGATATGAATCGTTTCGTGGCGGTGTGGTGGAATGATATGCAGTTACGTACCTTTATGTTCTGTGATAGATCGAACTTCAGCACGATGAACTTTTTCAGATGGGCGACAGTGACTGCCTGCAGGACAGCTCAGATATCTGCCTGTTCGCCCTGTAACGTACACACAGCCACAGATCGTAAGTTACAGCCTTTACTGAAGAGCCCGTTGAGTAAAATAAAGCCGAAACTAGTAGTAGCATCGCCTACACCTATATAGTTTAATGCACTAATCGAATAACAAACTTGCCGCGTATACATGGCAGTATTGCAGTGACTATATACTATATAGATCACTACATACGCGCATGCGTATAACGTACAAACGGCATTTTATAATAGTCACTATAAAACGACTCTGCATGCATAAGAATCGTACGCATTACGTTAATAATATTCAAAACGTTTTTCCTTCTTTGACATATTGCTAGGGCCACATGTATGTTGCCACGAATAAGTGAATTTTACAAGCCAATGGATGAACGGACTACTCTCATCGCTGAAATATTCATTTTCTGATATTAGAATGTGGACAGCCCTACAAATCTGTTTTTTCTATCTATTTCCCGCCAATCTTTGCGCGCGCAATGTTGGGCTGATAGTGTTTTGATAGCGCGTAACATGTACCGTTCAATCCAACCATTTACGTCTTGCCATTATCGGGACCCCCATTCGAGAACCACGAACCACCGACCGGTTGAAAACTGCGAACAATATATTTTATTTTGTCGATGACGCATAAATTTGTACACACACACAGTAGTTGCTATACATTGAGTTCCCCGCATGTCACACGCTAACGAATGACGTGTGAAATTCTTGTATAGCGGCGCTATAGCAAACGCGGGGAGGGCATTGACGCCCGATAACTAATTCCTGTCTCCCGTTCATGTACATTAGCGGGGCGGCGAGACGCCTACGGTCAGCCCTCGTTTACTAAAAGCTCTTGATTTTTTTCCGCAAAATAACTTAGTCAATTATCGGTCGTCGGCCTGGACATCACTCGCTAATGAATATTAGCTGCATATTATTGCTCTATATGACTTCTTATATATATATATATATATATAATATATTATATATAATATAATATATATATATATGTATTATTATAGTAGGGTGACGCCAGTCTTATACATTAACTCGCGACGCGACATCGTTTTCAGTTATAACGTTTGAAATGTTTAAATCTGTTTTGAAATATGCCGACACGCGGGAAGATAACATTGAAAGGTTTTTGCTAACTTCACTAGGTCGGTTCTAATATAACCACATCGCCCCACGCGCTTTTCTAACCTCGACAATATGTCACAGTTAAGAAACGTGAATACATTAAGATGCATTTGCCTTGCTTGTCCTCCCGAATAATTTATCCATTTTCTGCCCTGTAAACGTTATATGTTCCCGGATAGTATAATCGGCATAAACATTTAAGTTAATTATTGGGTAAAGTCTTAAATTTACCGGTAGCGTGCATTTTTCCACGGATCCACGCCCAAACCTCAAGATGGCGTCAGCTTCGATACCCGCTATTTTTTAAACACCTGACCAGCGAGATTTTCAGATCTGAGCGCCGCCATTGAAATTCAGCCACCGAAGCCGTTCAAGAATATTCGAAGATCGTAACGCCGTGCGCGAAAGGAAGAAGTTATTCTAGAGCGAGTGTTGCGTTTCCAACGTTCACGAGGACGTTTAAAATTTCACGTCGACCCAAGCATTTAGGGCACCGCCGCCTGCCGGAGTTGAAGCGCGATGTCTCACAAATTAAATCATTAGCACAACGTAATTAACGCATATATATATATATAAATATATCATATATATATACATTTGCACCGCTTTGCGCATTTGCAGCCCTGTCAGCGCTATATTTAATTAATGCATAACGGGTTAAATGCAGCGTGATCCGAGATTTAACGTACTCCGTTATACGTATTATTTTTCATTCCGAACAAAGATGTCAGGTTTATTGCGTTTGGGCACCGCCGTGCGATGTTCATTGCGTTTAGCCAACAGGATGCGTTAACAGGCTTATAAGCCTCTCTGTACTAAACGCCTCTTGTTACGATACTCCGACAAATTGGTCCGATTGCATTCTCCTCGGCATTCTTTATGAATCAGTGGTGTATTTATGCTGCGCTCGTTTCGAGATAGATTTTGAAATCGTTGATAGTGTCCTTTTTAAATCGCTCCAGTTCATTTCTTATATTGTGCATGTAATTTTTCAAAATCGTGCAGCACTTCATTTCTAAATCAGTAGCGTCGTGTTTTATATTGCTCATGTCAATTTTTACATCGTGCAGCCACATTATTCTAAATTTAAGCAGCGCTCATTTTTTATATTTGTGCAGGCCATTTTTTAAACTTAGGCGGCGAAATCGCTAATGAATGTTTCGTAACATATGTATCGGCGACACGAACGTCGACCCAACTACCGATTTATTCGGCCTGCATGCGCGCATATTTCGGCTCATATCCATTACAAAAGATTCGGCCGGTTAATTCATTACGAGACGGGGCCATTAGTGGAGAAGTTAATTTCACGATGTAATTTTCGCGCTAACAAAATCAATAGCATTTTCTACGAACGTTGGCGACGTTATGCGCGCCGTTTAACGCGTGCGTATGAGATTCTTAATGAGCGCAGAAAGCACATCATGTGCTAGAGCGTAGTATAACAGGGACCAAGTGTACAGTAGTGCAACAACGTATAGGCATAATTATAGCACTTGCTAAAGGAAAAAATTAAAATACCGTAAGCATTGTGCAGCTGTGAAGAACACTTGTCAGAGAATTTCAGTGACGTGAGGGTAAACTAATATTTTTCGTTTACCATGGTAAGTTTCCTAGAGTATTTTATTATTTATATAATGGCAGATTTTTCTGCAAGCTATTAGCTATACACAAAATAGCTATACTCACTTTCAACAGCGTCCATTCTTTAAAAAAATTGTGTTCATCATCACTGCAAACATTAACACGATCTTTTTAAAACGTGCACATATGTAGGATAAACAGAGTATCCGCTATCACCTTGTATTACACCACACGCTACGCACGCCAACTCCCACCACACACACCATTATAATATATATATACATATATATATATATATATTGATAAATTTTAAGTCACTTATATGATATATTCACTAACTGGTCCACACCCAAACACAGCATAAACACACACACGCACACACGCACACGCAACACGCACGCACGCCAGCGCACGCACGCCACGCACGCACGCACACACATCACTCCACAACACACACACAAACACACACACAAAGCACACATACCCGCGCCACTATAAGAGCCAAATTAATTTACAGGGCTCTACGCGCGTAGTACGTACCAGGCTTCTGAGAACTGTAACGACAGGCTGATGTTCTCGTCAGGCGTGTAGATGATGCCGCTGACTGGCGTCCACCTCCCCGCGGCGTTCCTTCGGCGCTCGACCAGGCGCTGGCAGGGTAGCCCGGCTGTGAGCGCTTAGAACTCTCGCCTCCTCTAGCAGTCTCATCTTGATCATGGGAACGAGACCAGCAGCATCGGTCGAGAAAATGGCGACTAACAACGGACGAGATCT